GATTGGATCGCGGGTTCAGGATCGTTCGGAAGCCTGCTAACGGTAGCCCAGGCTTACAATGTTTTTTTTCAATTATAACTTTTTCTTCTATACAAATGTTTTTGGCTGCTTTGTGTTGAGTATATGGTGATTATAAAACTCAAAACAGAAAGTCAAACAGTAAACTGAAAACCTCACCCCAAAGTTACAAAACTCAAATCAACATTCTACCTTTTCCTGGGTTAGCTCAAATGGCCACTGAACAAACCGGCCAAGGAGATACGCTTTTAGGCTGGCCTAAATCTATATATTGTTTATCCCTAACTGAATATTATGTCATAATTGTAAACTATGACTTAAGTGAGCTAGCATTTATAACAGTTGGGCTCAGCGAGTTGGTATAAGGCAAAAAAGGGTTATTCTCATATCATCTAATATAACTTGTTCTCGCCATGATGTAGTTAACAATTTCTAACTCAATGTAACAATCATCCATCATCCCCGTACTATATAACAGCGTTTAAAAACGTGAAAACATATCATTTTTAAACTGCAGTTTCGTACTTTTAAATCGTATACGCATACACTTGTCCTAGTAAGTAAAGATATGTCCTAACTGTTAGTGTACATGGAAAAAAGCCAGGACGTTCAAAGTTGTACTATGACGAAAATCGCATCTTTCCTATTGAAGCCATTTTAAAACATAAAAAAAGTAGTCTGTATGAGGAGAAAAATGCACTTTAGTTTTTTTTTAAATATCTCTTTTCGTTCCAGAGATATTCAAGTTTATGAAATATGCAAATTAGCCAAGTGATGACGTCATATACTCAACCAAATTTTGATCAAATATGATGAAAAACGATATCTCAGCCAATTTGAAACAGGAATGTTTGATTCTTTGCAGTGAGGTTCTACTAAAGGTGCTTCACAATACGAGCTTAAAATTTTGTTACCATGGCAACATACTGGGTTCCAGACCTCGCCAATATTAAAGGCATTTGTAGCCACCTTCAGCGTTCTATTTTCATATTTGCGAATGGTGCCTCGTATGTATGATCCAACAGGCAAATAAATATGTTAGCTCTAGTTTGTTCCCTGTTTACCGTTTTTCGAGCTGGAAATCGCTAACATATTAGAATCAAGTGGATGGGGACTGGAACAGAGTGAGTTGCCATGGGAACAAAATTTTTACATCCGGTAGGTGTGTTTCCTATAGAACTATTAGCCTGCCAAGTTTCAATGGTCTGCACTTTAAATTCGCCAAGATAGCTCTATTCATGTACTTAAGATAGTATTGGGTTGAGTGTATGACGTCATCAGCCATCTCATTTGCATATTTTGCACATTTTTCAATATCTCCAAAACTAATGCAGATATTTGTAAACGGTAAACGGCGTTTTGATTCTTTCATGGAATTCTATGTGATACACCTAAAATATCAAGGAGTAAAAATTTGATTATAGTATCACTTTAACGCGAGAACCAGAAAAATGCAGGACAAACATTTACTTTTTATTTACGCCTTCAAATACAGATTCATTCAGCTCTGAATACAAAACTTACCATATCGACCCCTTACCTATACAAATAAATTAATCAAAGAGTTTATTAGAGTCAAACAGAAGAAAAATATTGAAAAGTAAACAAACGCCAAGGAAAAAAATATAGGACCTCCGGAAAAAAAAAATAAGGAGTGAAAATCTAATCCTGCTGTGAATATAAGCTTTTTATTTTTACTATCGCTTTGTTTAAAATCATAGGACCTCCGGAAAAAATCACGACTGAAAATCGGAATAAAACATGTTGTCTCAGGACAACGATACCTACTGTGAATATTAGCTTTTTTTTTTTACTATCGCTTTGTTTAAAATCATAGGACCTCCGGAAAAAAATCAGGACTGAAAATCGAAAAAAAATTATGTTGTCGCAGGAAAACGATACCTACTGTGAATATAGGCTTTTTTTTTTTACTATCGCTTTGTTTAAAATCATAGGACCTCCGGAACAAATCAGGACTGAAAATCGGAATAAAACAGGACAACGATACCTACTGTGAATATAAGCTTGTTTGTTTGTTTTTTTGTTTTTTTTTTTACCATCGCTTTTTTTTAAAAGAAACTTTAAGATGCGTTTATGGTAACTCCCAACGAAGAATTATTTTACGTTTGAATTTGTTGGCAGGAATGTATGTCCTGTTCAAACAAAAAATTACGTTATTGGAAACAACCTTTTTTATAGTTCTATTAAAAAATGTGTGAGGGGAAAAAGATAAGGAGCATTATCTTTTATGTGAGCGTTACTGAGGTATCACTCAACTCAATGAAAAACAAAACTGAAATTGATAAAAATTTTATACGTATCAAAATCGGATCAGATTAGGGACAGACCATTTAACATTTTTTGGGGGGGGGCGACTGTATTTTTTTCTAAAAAAATTCTGATTTTGAAGAAAAAAATAATGTCTTACAAGGATACAAAATAAATATTTTGTTTTTGCTGTTTCTATGTGACATTGTTTTAGTGGTTGGGGAGAAAAGGATAAAGGCTCATCAATACCAGAAAAAATTCTGATTTTATCTTTTCAAAAAATAAATTTTCTGTTTTTCATTCCGACAGAAAAAGATTCTGTTCCGGAGGAAAAAATAAACATAGCCCACAACCTAAAAATTAAATTGTTGGTCCCTTAGGACTGTTTCGTCTTTTACTAAGCAGTCATGTAAAATTGAGGGAAGAAGACCCTACACAGTTTAAATACTTACCGTATTTATTCGAATAACCGCCCTGGGCGCTTATTAAATTTTTGGAACTTGAGAGTGGGCGCTTATTCGAGGTGGGCGCTTATTCGAGGCTGGGCGCTTATTAAATTTTCACCATTTTCAGCAAGTGAAGTATGTTTATTTTGCAACAAAACAATAAATGCTAATAACAAAACGCGAAGAAGTAGCAAAGCAAGGTTTCTGTAAAATACTCTGAAGAAAACTCCGTCCTCGGGGAAGTCTCTTATTAGAATTTATTCACTCAAGTGGGTGGGGTGGGGATGAGCGCTTATTTGACTTTGATTGGGAAGAGGAGGGGGTGGGCGCTTATTCGAGGCTGGGCGCTTATTAACTTTTTCTGCCTTTAGGATGGGCGCTTATTCGAGGTGGGCGCTAATTCGAGGTTGGGCGCTTATTCGAATAAATACGGTAAATACTATAATTGTTTGTATAGATGTACTAGATTACATATGTTGTTTAAATATTTTGTAATGCTATGACCTAGGTCTTTGTTTGCGTTAATAAAGTATTATTATATCGGCCACTAATAACGAATTATATCCCAGCTTGCAGTCAAACACAACAAACCCTCCACTAAGAAAATTACCCAGACATAACTTTACTTTTATGGTAAGCGCAATTGTAATTTGCGTAATAACTCAAAGTCGTATTGTTGCAATTTTTTTGCCAGGAACATTTTGGCCGCATCTACCCTGCGAGACAGAGCTTACTTTCTCTTTCCGCCCGCGACCATAACTTTGCTCGTCGCGTGCGTAAAGAGAATTCGAAAGTAAGCTCTGTCTCGCAGGGTAGGCCGCATCTTCAATCATGGCTTTTGCTTTTGACATTTCAGAATGTATCCTATTGCGGTCATTAATGCGAACGAGAAATATCCTACCATATACTGATGGCCACGTAAACGTTTGTCTTAGCAAGGCATTGATTATCTGTCGGTGGTAGCTTCCTTTGAAACCGCTGGGTCATTTTCAAAACTGTGTCTGACAGCCCGCATTCTATCTAACATGGCCGCCCCTAACAAATTATGCATTTAATTGAGCAGAAAATAATCTCGTGAGAAAAAAAAAAAGGAATAACAAAAAGTACCGAACACCAATGCATATTCAAAAAGGGAAGTCCACCAAAACTGACAAAACCGAGAAAACGCTCGACTATCTCAACCAACGGAACGACTGGAAAACAACTGTTAAATTGCTGACTTGGTGCAGGCATTTTCCGAAGAAAATGATGACTTAAACCCGGTTTTATGGCATGCTTTAGCTCCGATTTGTGTGGCAGTTCCGTTATATGGACAAAAATTGAGGAGGCAAACCAATCAGGCATAATAATAATGATGGGAATCCAGCAGTCAAAACTGTGTAAAATTACATCACGAATATGTAACAAACTATAAAAAATAATAATAATCAGAACACACAAAAACCGTATTCAAGGACAGAATTGGAATCGGCGTTCTAATAAAAGCACCAACAAAAAAGTTTTTGTTATTTACAGTAAAATATTTTTGATTTGCTACATACACTCCCGATAAAGTACAAAAAGCAACAAGTTTACACTCTTCAAACGTAAATAAAAAGAAAATCGCAAAAGTAAAGAAAAATATACACAACGCCAGCACCTAGTATCTATAACTCAAGACCATCCTGTATTATTTTCAAAGTTGACAGTGAATATTTATCCATTAGGTCTTGGTACAGTATGTTGCCCTAATTCCGGACACTTTCGGATTACAGTTTCGTTACTCTCTGAAAATCATAAACAAAATACGAAAAATTCTTCCCGATTATTTATTGATTACTCTTATATCGCTAACTTCTTTTATGGCTGGCGTAGTCTAAGGCTGGAAATTCGAGACCTTCTCAAGGTAGGTCGGACTTTCTTCCTCGTAAAATTGCTTTTTCAGCGCGCATCGAATCGCATCGTTTTGTATTTGCAGTGACTTTTTTTTTCGCAGAAGAAGCAACACGTATTATTAATTTTGGAAATAATTCAGGCTTTAAGGACTACGGTTTCTTCCTATACAAGATTGGCTAGTTAACTGTTTCATATTAGGGACTTTAAGATCTGGGACGCGACGACTTCTAGAACGCGGTGGCTGATAAAGGACTGGACCTGTAGAACGCCGTCGTTTGCGCGCGAAAAGTAAAGTTAAGATCTCTGTCGCGATGCAAGACGACGCGGCTGCAAACCGCTCTTTATCAGTGTGATTCTTCGGCGATTCTTTCGCAGAAATAGCCATGGCATCAT